CGAAATGGACACATTATATTTAAAATTAAGCATCATTCGTAGGAATAATCCGTTTGTTTCACCCTCGACTTTTGTCCGCTGATTTTTATTTTTAAGTACGTTTAGCTGAGCCATAAAAAAAAGGAAGAAAAAAAGGTACTTTTTTGAAAACGAAGTTACAGATTTTCTTTAAGAAAGCAAGATTTTGAAGTAAAAGTTACTTTTACTTAGCTTTTGGCTAAGATTTTGGGCAACGAAAGTTGATTACTCTCACTTATTTTAGGCATAACTGGCGATGCTCGCAGTAGAATTTGAATTTAGTTGGATTTAAATCACTTGATAGAACGGTCTTAATTCTTACCTTTTTTTTTATCGTTACACTTTTCTTCTCTATCTATTACAGGATTCCCTTACCTCTTCTTTTGCGGTTAACCAAATTACTTGTACTGGGAATGCTAAGTTGTGTTTTCTTTAATTTGATGTGATTTACTAATATATAAGTTTCAAGTTTACAATTATGACCCCATTTGGTAGTGATTGATTTTTTGACTGTTATTTCACTATTTCAATCGTTATTTTTTACTTATTTACTCACATGTGGCATTCATTTTTCTCTCTAAAGATTAAAAAATCAATTCTCAAAATTATTACCAAACGGGCCCATATTCATATTTGCAGATTCTTGGATACATTTGAGCAGGCCAAACCCGTGACTGTAGAGAGTGTGTGAAATTGTGATGTAGCAATTTGCTCTCCCTGTCAATTCTGCTGTCACTGGAAAGTCGAAATTTGAGTCAGTTGGTGCTGATTCTCTCGATACCGTATTAAAGTTTTTATAGGAAAATATATTTGCATATCTAAAACTTCTCCCGAATTTTTTTTTCGATTGAATTTTGTTTCCTCGAATTTTATTTAAAGCTAAATCACTGGTAATTTCCTATACTCTTAAGGTTGTCCTGATTATTGATTTTGGCTTGCAATAGCATTTTCCGACTCCAACCATGCACATTAAAGGTCTGTTTGATTGTAAAGATGAAATTGAATTGAATTGAAAACGAATTTCAGAAAATTGATTTACCTAAAAATTGTTTTTCCTGAGAATTGTAAATTATTGTGTTTGATTGATATAATTTTCCACGTGGAAAATGTTGAAATTTTGAATTTTTTGGTGTTCGTTTGATCTTGTTTTTCATGAAAATTGTCAACTAAATGGATAATTTTTTTTTTACAATTGTTGATAGATTTTGTTTCCATTGCTAAAAAAAATCAAAAAATAAAAATGAAAAGCTGAAAAACCGAATTCCTACCAAAATGGTGGGAATTGATTTTCCACCATTTCGAGGAAAAGGCACATGTGTGGAGGAAAATGTGGAGATCAAATTCCCTAGAAAATTTAGCAATCAAACACCACGTTTTGGTGGAATATGGAAAATATTTTCCATAGAAAATATATCCAATCAAACATGGCCTAAATGAAAATGTAAATGCTGAGTTAATCTGAGTACTGTTCCAAATCAACTGATTACAGAATGAGCCTAAAACTCGTTTTCAACAAGTCAAGGTTGATTGCAGGTAGTTGAAGATCTAAAGAAATTAAATCCTTTCATATTTAAAACCGGGCATTAGTATTTTATGTTTACCCGTCTTTCTTCTAACTGAGATCGAACCACTCTTATGTACACGAACATCTTGAGGTCTACGGAAAATATGTCTAGATCACCTCATTTAATTTATCTTCAATCGGAGCCACCTTTTCCATTTGTTATCTTATCCATTTTAGTATAAAAGAAAAATATAATTTGCATATTATGGTATTTCACGATTTTAGTCATCGATCTTGAGTATGATGGGTTTCTTTGTGATATTTGATGGACAACTGTCTTCCGTATTTAGGTCGAAGTTGTCATGGAGCTCGAGGAGGAGTTTAGGATCGGTGTGGAAGAAGAAAGTGCCCTGAGTATCACAACCATTCAAGAGCAGTTGATATGATTGATAAACTCGTAGAGAAGAAGACAAGAAATGATTTATCGACATAGGTTTGATAGTAAAGTGTCCCTTTCATCTTTCTTTGTCTCGTTAGATCAAAAAAAATATTGAAAATAATTCATGCAACTAATCCAAAGACCAAAAGTTCTTAAAAAACTCATTCCTCACCCACTTCGCTTAAAAATCTTTCTTTACAAGAACTCAAGATTGAAGGCGGACTTATTGGCTAATATATAAAAATCTAATGCCACCAAAATTGAACGAAGACTTCAAAGAACCAGCATTTTAAAATATGAGGAATGTCAAACGAACATAATGTTTGACACAAAGGATGATACCACACTCACAGTTGAGGAGTGGGTCTCGCGCAAATAAAATAATGCCGACTTCCATGTGAGTGTATTGTGTCAACCAATATGTCAAACTTTGTTGTAATGTAGCATGGTTGTTAAAATAATCCTTTTAATGACATGCAGATTATTAGAACATGTTGCGCTAATGTGGATTGAGTCGAAAAAGATTGCCACATAAACTAAAATAAATGATATCTGCAAAAGTTCATATTCAATGCAATATATTTAGGACTATATCAAGTCGACATGACAAGAAATAAATAGATTTGTTCGATCTACTCTATTTAGACATTAAGCCCCTTTTTTACGACTATTAAAAAAAGTGTTTATTTATTTATTTTCTTTTCAAGAAAATGAGTTTTAAAATAGTAATTTTTTGAAAAATGTGCGATTGAAAATGTTTTAATATAAAAAAGAGTTTTATAAAAGTTGTTGTCAAACATTATATATATCGAAAGTCTTTCTAATTAAGATATCACCTAAATTGCAATCCACCGAATTCAATAGAGATTCTTCTTCTATTATTATTATTATTATTATTAGTAGCATTTTCTTTGGACTAAAAACGTTGGAAACTAAGCATGTTTGTTGTGTAATCAAACTTGGACCGTTTAATACATTAAAACGAGAATGAATATCCACGTATCAATGCAATAAAATATATAATGTTTCATCATGTTTGGTTAAGGGGGCTGTCCTCAATATAGAGTTCTATGGATTTTAAAACTCCATATAAATTGAGGTGACCTCAATTCAGATTTAAATATAATTCATTAAAATATAGGTGTCCTCAATCTAGACTTTTAGAAATATTTATAAATTTAGGTGTCCTCAACTTAGATTTTAATAGGTAAATTAGAAATTTACGTGTCCTCAATAACTACTTGATTTAAAATGATTTCATTAATTAGATAAATTTTGATAGATTTTAAAAGATTTCAAGCTAAAAGTATAAATACCAAAAATATGTAACAATTATATCCCAACCCCACAAATTTCAAGACTTTTCTCGCCTGCAAATTTGTCGCCCTCTCCCTCTCTGGTGAAAAGGTTTTTCTTCTTCTTCTTCTCCTCCCTATCTCGCATCCCTCTGTCATGAACAGATCAATTTTTATTGAATTTATCAATTTTCTGACTTGCTAGTTTCACCAATGGCCATTAATTTCCCACATATTCTGACTTGTTAATTTCACCAATGGCCGTCAATTGATTTTTTATTCTGACATGTTAATTCTGGATTTTTCTTATTTAATATACTACAGATTTTTTCCATGTGTAAGTAATTAAGAGTTACGAAATATAGTTATAATGACATACACATTCATTGAAATCTATTTTACCATGAATTTTACCCAAATCGATGAGAATCTATAAAATCCATTGAAATCTATAAAAATCCATGAAAATCAATTAAAATCTACAAAATAGAAATTCATTCAAATCTTATGAAATCTATCAAATTCCATACAATCCATGAGAATTTATAAATATTAACAAATCTACTAAATTCTGAGTTGAGGACACCCCCGTAAGTAAATAAGAGTTTGTTTGACATTGATTTTTTTAAAATTATTTTCAACTATATATATACCAAAAAAAAAAAAATGTTGCATCAAATGGGCTCTTAATATTTTACATGAGACCTAAATTCGAATTCCTTTATTACTCTTTATTTTTTTTTATGCCCAGATGTCCACCTTACAGCGACTAATTCTGAGGTTTACGATCTAGCCCCTCTTCACGCAGACCAGGTAAACTGCGGATTGTGTCCCAAACTAGTCAGGGTCCAAGAGCTCCCAACTGAACTGCCAAAGTACCGAACGAGTCCTTTATTGCTCTTTATTAATTACAAGCTGGATGCATGATCCAGCGCACTTATATA